TGACCCAAGGAGAGAGTAGTTGCAAGAAACCGGGAGCCTAGAGCTCCTAGATGCTATTGCAGAAATAAAGTAGTATGAATCTGGCTTACCTTGGAGAGGGAATACATGCTGCTCCAGCCAACAGAAATGCCTGGAAGAAGGAGCAGATCCCTAGTGAACAAGGGAGCAATGAATGTGCCTGTCACTTCAGCGTGTGAGGCAGGACACGGCTCTTTGGTGTCCCCAGAAAATGAAGCATTCCCCTTGGATTTTTCCTGTGTTCAGCCACTGTCCTGGTGGTTTCAGCCAGCCACTGCGGAGGCAATCACTTGCCCCATCGCAACAATCCCCTGCTCCTTCTCTCCCTGCCTCAGCTGCTCCGGAGCAGCGCAGATCCCTCGCCTGTCAGCACAGATCAGGGGATGCTGCCCGTGCTAGACAGAGTACAGAGGAGTAAAGGCCAAACGCTGCCCTCGGAGCTATTCCCAGCACTCCCATCAACTGCAGGGCGTGCTGTGTGTTTGTATTGGAGCCAGTATTAACTAAACACTAAGGCGCTGTCTTCTACATGAAAATAAAATGCATCCACGCTTTCAGGCCATTATGTGATCTGGTTCTCCCTCTTGCTTTTAGATGAGTATAAAGGAGAAGCTGCTTGAGGTTTATTAACTAATAACCAAGAAAACCTGTTTTGAGTGTCAAAATCTCATGAGGCATCTCTTCTACAGAAGCTAATCTGGTATTTTGCTCAGTGGAGATGGAACAAGCATTTAACCCAGCTAATCAGGACCATCTCTTGGCATATTTTTATGCTTCCGGCTTGATAATAAGGTGCTTCTGCTCTGGACTTTGCATCCTGTTAGTTTGCTTTAACAACCCACTGCTGGTATCTCTGCAAAAAGATTCTGGGCAGGGGGATGCTCTCCCTCACATCAGCTTTGCATTCCAGACCCTGCCTCGCTCCTTCTCCGGGGAGATGCTAATCTCGCAGTGTTTTACTTCCCGCATTTTGGTCCATATGTGACAACTGTGTGTCTGATCACCACAATCTCGCACAGTTATTGTACCCGAGGGAAAGGGAGCCAAAAAAACATATGGGGCTAGAGAAAACGGTGTGCTTCACTGCACACAGGCGTGTTTCAGAGACAACAGACTCTGGTATTTTGCAGAAAAGATGTGGGCTCTCTGAAATTTTCTGGAAGTGAAATCAAGGCTGTGATTTCCTTTTCCTCAACCAGTGCCGCAGAATGCAAGAATCATTCTAAAATTAGTGTTTCAGTTGTTAAGATTTTAACAATCATTTATGCCATTGACAAGTCCTGATTGCTTATTCACTAAGGACTGCTTCTGTCAGAAAAAAAATCTGTTACTTTTTAGTGGTGATGGTGTTGGTTTCCTGAGCAAATGGGCACACAGGTGCAAACACCTGCACGTGTACACACACTAGGGTTAAAAGTTAGAGGCTGAAGTGCTCAGTTGTAGACTTGCGCCTTGTCTAGCCCTGCATCCACTCCTGCCTCTCTCCATGACTGCTTCTCCAGTGACTTGAAACAAGCAATTTTCTGGTCTTATCCTTTTCCTTTATCCAGCCCTCCCCATATACGCACACAGATTTACTGCAGCCTCTTGTAGCCTTAGCAACTGCTGCCACTTCAGGTTTGTATACTGAGGGAAATGTAATGGGTAGGGGAAATGCCGGGAGATAGAAAGGAGCATCCTAAACTGGGGGAGAAGGCAGATACTAAACTGTCTGAAATGCCTTTCCGTAGCCTTAGAATCATAGAATCGTTTAGGTTGGAAAAGACCTTTAAGATCATCCAGTCGAACCATTAACCTAACACTACCAAGCCCACCACTAAACCAATTAAGGGTAGAGTAGTAATTAATTTCATGTTTCCTAGCTTGATGGCTGAATTATTTTTTAATGAAAGTAAAACTAGAATAGAATCATTAAGGTTGGAAAGGACCTCTAAGATCATCAGTCCAACTGTCAACCCAACACCACCATGCCCACTAAACCATGTCCAGAAGTGTCACGTCTACCTGTTTTTTGAACACCTCCAGGGATGGTGGCTCCACCACCTCTCTGGGCAGCCTGTTCCAGTGCTTGACTACCCTTTTGGTGAAGAAATTTTTCCTAATATCCAATCTAAACCTCCCCTGATGCAACTTGAGGCCATTTCCTCTCATCCTATCACTGGTTACTTGGGAGAAGAGACCAACACCCACCTCACTGCAACCTCCTGTCAGGTAGTTGTAGAGAGCGATAAGGCCTCCCCTCAGCCTCCTCTTCTCCAGACTAAACAACCCCAGTTCCCTCAGCTGCTCCTCATAAGACTTGTTCTCCAGACCCTTCACCAGCCATTCATCCAGCGAGTTGTGAAACCTATCATAAAAGGTCTTTTAAAGATCAGTCCACTTTATCCTGCTTACAATTTTGAGCATGCATAGTCCCATCAGTGCTGCCTTCTGCTGTCACTGGGAGCCCCTGAAACATGGAGGGAGTCACCAGGACAGGGATGCGATGGCCTGTGCGCAGCAAGCTCAGCTGTAGAGGCCAAACTTGGAATATTTACAGCAATTATAAGCAAGTGAAAAAAGAGTTTGAGAGGCATGTCTTCACCTAATGTGACAGTATCCAGCATTGTAAAGTAATGAGCATGCTGTATTATATATGTATATACATAAAACAAGAACGTATTTCAGCATTATGTTTGTGACTTGAGAAAGCCTTTAGTCAAATTCCATGGTGACTGCCTTTTTAAAACAGCTACAGAAAGTCTTCCAGGAATAAAATACAGAACTGTTAATGACACTAATGATTGCAGAAAACTTTAGTATGTGAAATATTCATTTAATACATTGTTATTCCAACATTGTGCTCAGCAGAGATATGCTGGACTGGGTATTCAGCTATCACCATGATGGGCCCTACAATACCACACAATCGAACACAATTACATGTTTTGAGGCTATTAAGAAAAAGCTGTCTTATGGCTGCATAAAAAACCATAATGCGAGCCTATCAGAACCGCTCAGAGTATAAAATAACAAATTACAAAAAATAATTGCTTTTCTTAAGTATCATCTGCTTAAAAAAATCCTGTAAATCCCTATGTAAAGGTCTGTCTTTTTATCAAACACCTTCTTAAGGCCTTCATTACCGGGAAAAGCCGTTCAAGGATTTTTGTAG